GAGAAACGGTAAAACTGTCTAAAACAGTTGTTTCCTAATTTGTATCTGATACAATCGTTTATTGTATACCAAAACTGACACTTTCTAACGCATTGTTTTCTCATCATTTTTTTGGCAACTTTGTTTCTTTTTTGTCAGTTATTTGTGTTTATCTATTCTATTCTCAAACTATATGCATTAAAGACCACTTTCCGACACTGCCCTAGGTACATATGACACGCAACCTTTTCATTGCCGTTCACTGATTGTCATTCAAAGAATAAAACAGTTTGAGTGACAAAGTCATTATAAGATAAGGGGAAGTGTATATTACACTGCTTATCTAATAATTGTGTAAATTGTTGATATAAGACTACTTACACTTCTATGAAGATGTGCGAGAATGTTTTTGTAGTTTGCATATTCAGTTGGAGTTTCAGTAAGTTCAATTTAATGCCAAAAAAACAAAGTTAATTCCAAACAGAAAGAAAGAACAGTTGAAAAAAAACAGAATAGTTCGAACTCTTTCTAATCGTTTTTTGGCAAATTGTCCTTGTTTTTTATCACTGGCAAAAACTGAAACCTTAACAGTTTCAATGAAGTGTCCCTTCACTAAAAATAAATCATATGACGGACAGACATCTTATTCTTAGAATTTGATGTCTCGATGAAATTCATAAAGAGAAATATTAAGCATATTTTTTTGATCTTCATTTTAACTACGCTTCGATGTTTTTCTCTTTACTCAAGTTGCAGCTGACCGTTTCATATTGCTTCTCTAGTTTATTTCTACTGTTATTTAAGCTTTTTATGTCTTTTGCACTAATCTAATTGTGAAAGAAATGGTAAAAAACGATAAACCTATCAAAAATGTCAAAACGGTTTGAATCACAGCACAAACAAATATATCTGATAAGGAAAAAGCCGTAGAAAAATAACCAACGAATAATAGTGTGAGAAAATATTCTGCCAAAAACAAAAAGAGAACAGAAATGAAGAAGAATCGCGTTTCAAACATCGTCTTTTAGAAGAGGAATTGTACTTGCCTACAGACCTGAGAAAGCCAGGACTTTTTCAAGCCACAAGGCAAGTCAACTAAAATATTCTCCAAGTCAGAGTCAGTAATAATTTCTGCCAAGTCAAGTCATATCCTTAATTTTGTTGTTTATTTCGTCTATTTTAGAATAATTATTGCATAAAAACCATTTGGGTCAGAAAATCAGCTAAATCTGAGATATCGTGTCTCGAAAAATCACATTTAGCCTTACGCCTTCGCTTAAAAAATAAAATTGCATTAGACAACAATTTAGGATCATTACAAAAACTGTATGGATATGCAACTCGAAAAACAGAGAAAGAATTAACAACTTTTGTATTTTTATCTAACCAATACTCAGTATTGAATATTTCTTTTACGAGTATAGCCATAGTAGCTGTAGCTGATGAATTGAAATTCTGGATAAACACAAAAATTCAATATGAATTGTTTTAACTTTGAGAGAAATTTTGACGACAATAACACTTCCCATTCATTTGCTTTCAGATGCGGCGTAGAAACAGTTGTAATCGTTAACTTTTTTAAATTTTGACCTAATTTTTGTAGTATTATTTTTATTTGTTGAAATGGGATGCTTTTATTAATATTTAAATTTAATTCAGATAAATATAGTAAAACAATAGCTGTTGGAATCGAATAGATTTGAAGATGATGATCGGTTGTTTTTCGCTCATTTCAGAGTGTAGTTGTCAATGACTTAACATGTGTTATCGACGGTAGTACATCAAATAAAAAATGATTCACTAATAAATGATCGGTTTCTAAATATCTGATTTTTTGCTACTGGTAATGCGGTTACTCGAGGAGTATGAGGTAGACAACAATAAAAATATAGTTTCAATGATTTTAATTTATTTAAACTAAATATACGATGAATTACATCAGGCATGGGAGTAAATATAGCAGGTGGAGAAATCAACGTGATTTTTAACAATGTTAAAAACGATAAAGAAGATAAGTGTCTGGCTGCATAACGAAGTTCAGTTGGATGTAAATTTGTTAATGTAACTGAACGAACATTTTGAAATGATTCAAATAGATATGGAGAAGAGTGAAGGAACATTTGAATTTGATCATGATCAATTGTTAATGATACAACTTTATTTAAATTTAATTTATTAGGGAAAGGGAATTTGTTGATAGTCTCATTGATAACTAAATGGTTATTCACTTGCCGTAAAACTGACTCAAAGCAACTGTTTAATCCTTCGAATGAATAGTATAATGAATATGAATCCAAAAATTCGAATAATGTATAAAGTAGTTCTAGAGGAAACGATTCCAAAACGGTAATTTTCGTGTTTAACGACACGTTTCGTATATTTATCTAGAAAAATATTAAAAAAACAGTTAGGAGTATCGATTTTAGAAACACTATAGTTTTGTCATTGAAAACCTCGAAGACACTATGATACGGGAATAACTATCAGTCGAATTCAAAACAATTTCTGGTACCGTGTAAAAACGAAACGCTAGGACTTGACTGATGAGATCGAAAGCACAAAACTGGAGACAAGCAACATTATACAAAGCAAGAAAGAATATTAGTAAATACGTGCAATGTTCGATAGCAATACTTTGTACGTGTTAACAAATGCATCTAGTTAACCGTCCAGTTTTAGATACCATCTCAGCCAAGACTATAAGCTATGGAAGATCGCTTTGCTTTCGCAGGGACCGCCAATCATTAGAAACACTATCTGGCATCATGATGACACTGAAAATCTGTGGTTTGAAGCGGGAAAATTTGTCATTCTGGCTCGACAGAAAAAATGTGACTGCAAAAGTTGATAACAACGGTTGATAATAACGGTTTTTCCTGATGTCATGATAAAGCCATTCCATTCAACGTTAAAGAAGTTGAAGCCAACAGTAAAAGTGTGACGTCCCGAGAAAACAACATTTTTAGTGTGGCTTTGCCACGAATTTTATGTGAGTTTCTTTTTACAGTGATAGCAGTGACAAGTGGAATTTTCTCAAATTCTGTTTCTTATTGGTGCTTTGACACTAATTTTGGTTTTTATGCTCCTCGAGCAAGATGTTTTTCAAAAAATTGGATATAAACTTGCGCCACAATAGTTATCATACAAAAGGAATCTCGTTTGTGAAGCTTTCTTGCTCACGTTTAAAACTCGAAAAACATTTACAAATGTGAATCACCTTGGATTCAGTGAGAAAAATACTAATAGTAAAAATACAAAATACAATATCAATATAGCCAGACGATTTGTATGTTTGATTTGTTCACTCATTAGTGCTTTCGAAAAAGTATGGATTGAATTGTTCTGAATAGATGATAGAATAGTTTACTCTCTTAACTTCGGAATAAAAACAGTAATATCAATCAATATATGAGTATTGCTTCAAACTCTCCATCAAAAAAAGTGAAAACCGATATCACTTCTTTTGCTTTTTAGCAACACGTTGTTGCTTGTACTGTTACGATCGCAGCATCATATTTGTAATTGCCACAGCGCAATTACGCACAACTGTATCCAATTCATCCGCATTATGCGACATACTGTGGCGCAAGTTTATCGCAATCGAAAACATGGAAATGGCCGTCTATGTCCTTAAGGCCCACCCCTCACCCAAAAATCCATTTCTGCTTACGAGCATCCGATCTTAATGAAACTTTCAGAGATGGTGTATCTAGGTATGATGACCTCACAGTAAAAATTTCAGCTCGAAATATTAAACCTATCAAGAGCTACCTCACAATTAAGGTCCAAAAATGGGTCTTCGTCCGTCTCAGATTTCTCTGCCATTTTTAACGTGGCTCGGGTTGGTTTTAAAATGTAGCTGAGATGTAGGGCTACAACTTAACAGAGGCCGATTTTTTAATTTCTCCGTAGTTCAGTTTTTATAGAACTTTTACGTCACGATATGAAATTACCGGGGTGTAGGATCTCAAACATTTTCTCTTCATCTGACGTCTATTCTGAAATCGAAGAATCGGGCTCTGTTAAGTTGTAGTATCAGACTTCAGCTATGATTTAAAAGAAACCCGAGCTTTCTAGCCTTCAAATGGCGGAGAAATTTGGGACGCACGAAAGCGTAAAATCAAAAAGTCTCATTTTGAGAAAACCGCAAAATAACGAAAAAATGTCGTCTTTTCCGGTTTTCAGAAAAACCTGTGGGAAATCCTTAAAACCTACCGTAACATTAAGAAACTATAGTGCATTCGATAGCGGACGTGATGCTCTATCAAATACGCTATTTTAAAAAAAATCGATAAATTTCACCAAAATAACCTTTTTTTTTGAGTGGGGGGTGAGCCTTACGGAGGGTATATGCGCTGTACAACTTCGCTCAATTTAATCTCACTCTCAAGTTTATACCGAATGAGATGTGCAAGTAACTGCATTTTTTTCACTTGCTCATTGATCTTTTCCGTGTGTCCTTCACACTATAAGATCACATGAAAAATTTTGTCTCCATTTTCATTCTTACTCGTGTAATTTGTGTCAGCAATATTTTTTTAATTTCTTTATACTGAGATGACTCATTACTGAACATTACTAGAATTTAATTTCAAGATGAAGCAGTTTTTATTAAATAAGATAGAAAATACAAAATTTCTATGCAATCAGAATTCCCCATATATCATACTTCGTTCTCCATCTTCCTCCAGTCTTCGTCGTACGCATAAAAATTCTTAGTCATCTCTCATCGTATGTGTGTCTGTATGTAAATGATAGAAAGACGGGAAAAAATATTAGATACATATAGTCAGCTGTACTGTTTTCATTATTATGTAACATTCTGTACAAAGAGCAACTTGAAAATGATCGTATCAATAGGTCGAAATATATTAATTATTGGTTTAAATTTTTATTAGAATTTTAACATGTTACCTGTAATTACTCTAAATTTAAATATATACAAAATATATATTACAAAAGAACTTTAGATAAGTTTATTTTCAATAAATGAGTAATGAATTTTAAAAACCTTGATAACATTAATAATTAAATGCTGAATCGTTAATCATACTATGTACCATTCCTGGTTCATAACTACCACAGAATCCATCAAGTATTGGTTGAGCCGGTATACCACGTCTGAAGAAAAAAGAGAAAATTTAAGAACGTACAAATGGCGGTTAGAAATATCACCTTAACAAACGACAACGATGAACATCTAAACGAAATTGAGCGTCTTCCGGATCTTTCACATCTTCTGAACTCCATAATCTTTCGGCCACAGCTGACGCACGAGGCCAAAATCGACTTAGTGAATTTGTACCATCAACAAATTCTGAAATAATATCAACAATGAAAGATAAATATAACGTAAATTATTTGCATTACCTGCCCATAACGCTGCTTCACCACCAATCAAACGTTTTCGTGCCTCAGCATCGCCTGAAATTACAATTTTATGGTATTTAATCCTGTCTTTTAAGATTCAACTGTTTACCTGTAAAATTTGTAAATGGATCAACGTTATAATATTTGAAAAATTCTAAATTCATAACGGAGTCATTGGTATTATATTTCCCATATGATATCATATTAAGATACCACGCTGCAAGAACAGCATAATATCCGTCGGATGTCACTTTGCTTAGATAATAAGACCATGGCTCGGCTTCAGGCAATAAACTTGTATCTTTCCAAATTTCAATGATTGCTTCAGAATCCAACTAGAAATGAAAATAGTTAAAGAATATGGGAAGAAGATCCCAACTATCGGCTTGTGCTCTATTGAATTAACACCTAAGCATTAAGTCTAAAATACATGTGCTTTTTCGATAATTTTATAAAAAAACATAACAATTGAGGCCGTAAATTCTAGTAACGCTACAATTATCTCCTATATCAAACTGGAATTTATTTCTGTGTAACATGTTTCTACTACGAACTAGACTCCTATGGGGCAGCCCCGAACCCCATCCCGTGAGACAGACGGGATCCAGTCGCCTGATAATGTCTACCAATGGCGGGCTTTGCGAGTACCGCTTGTTTTGGATTACCTTTTATCAATGTTTGGGTGAGGAGTAACTCATGATCATTTAATCGTTTCGTCACAGGGGAAAGTTTACCTGTTCTTGAACGTGTGAGAATTGTAAAATGTAAAAATCAAAATCTTTCGTGTACATTTTCACTTTTGACGATGACCGTGAATGGTCGAAATATCAAGTTTTGTAGAATAAAATTCTAAAATTAGCTCCAATTAATATGAAACTCAAATTAATATGAAACTCAAGTCAAAACCGTATTTTATAATAACTGATACAAAATTAACGCGAAGAGGCGAAATAGTCTGGATTTAAACTTGAGATGTTTCATATCTAAAACTTCGTTTACAGTTCTTTGGGGCTTACGGGACGGGACAAAAATATTTATTTTCGGGCTCGGGAGAACAGAAAAGTTTGTCTCGCAGGACTCTACTGCGAAGCAACAAACTCACCTTTACACCATCATCATAAACGTCTTGCCAAACCATTGGTTTTGCATTTAAACTTTTTACGATATCAAGTACTGCTGACGAATAATAGTCCATCAAATCTGTACCATTTTTCATTTTATTTGTCTCCATCCACTGTCTAATGTCAGGATTCGAAAGCCTAAACGATAAATAATTTTTCAATAGCTTGAGAAAAAAAGCCGCTGCTATTAGACTCACCAACAATCTTTATAAACTTCATCCATTCCCAAATGAATATAAGGATCAGGGAATGTATCGCTAATTTCTTTCAGAAACGTTTTCATAAATGAATAAACTTGTTTATTTATCGGATTAAATATTTCACTTTCACCATGGACAGAATAAACTGCTACATTAGGAGTCGTGCCATTATAACAGGTAGTTAAATACTCTAAGATAGATTAACACATCCCTTTTAGTTGACTTTTATAAAAGTACTTAATATGAAACAGCTGGACATTTTGGGATGTTAACTTACGGTTTTCGTCATTTTGTAATGACGATCTGATCTGATTTAATCGAGTAATGAGAAAACTCAAATCCAAATCATCGTACCTCATTAGTCATTTGATCAAATTGCAATAGATTTGTATCTCAAATGGATGACTTCTACAAGTTCGACATCAGAAATCTCCTAATTCTCAAGGGTTTTCAACTGATTTTCTGTGAGTTACGAGATTTTCACTGAGCTAGGTATAAAATCTAACATCTAACTCTTATTTTCGCACGAATATAGCCAGCTTTTTTCGCGTTTCTAAAAACAAACGTTGTCACTACAGCATAATTGACAAACTTGTTTCTGACACTGCTAAGATCTATGTTCGATCCTGAGACTCTTTCGAAAACTACCGACATTCTAGAGCAATGATAGATAAGATCTTGAACTCGCATAGAATTGTAGAAGCCATCCGTTCCAGATAACAATCTATTGCAATTCGATAAAAGACCAATGAGGTGCGCCACCCCTATGCGGTGCTTTGAACTTTTTCCTTACTCTGTTAGATCAGGTCTCCGTTACAAAATATCTATTCTGTTCAAATATTCAAAACTATCCATCCGTCTTATACTCTAAAATGGACAATAAAATACTACATTACCTGGAAAAGCGTTACCCCATGATTTCGTATGACCGGGTGTATCAAATTCTGGAATAACTCGGATACCACGTAATCGTGCATGTTCAATTATGTCCTGTACATCTCCTGCTGTATAGATGTGATAAGGCGAATAAGCACCCTAAATTTGTTAAAAGTTACCGATATGAAATGATCATTATGTAGTTTTCTCTTACCTTTTGGGATAATTTTGGAAATTTCTTGCTCACATATGGAAAAGACTGATCATCAACAATATGCCAATGTAATACATTAAATTTGTTATATACCATCGTATCCTAATATTAGAACAGAAAAATTATAGTTGCACTTGCCGTTCATTATTTTGTATGATCTCACCAAATGTTTCTTCATTATTGGGACAGGTAAATAATGACGAGCAGTATCAAGTAATACTCCACGGTAAGGAAATCTTGGCGAGTCATTGATATCAAGAGTAGCATTTACAGCCAACTAGAAGAATACAAAAGTCAAATTTTTACATTATTTTTAAAAATGCGACGATCTGGTGTTACTTGATTATTGTCAGTTATGAAAAGTAATTGTGAAAATGTTTCTAAACCATGAAGAGCTCCCCAGACACTATTAGCGGATATTGTTGCATATGATTCGGCAATAGAAATATTATCTAAATGAGAAAAAACACAAAACAATAACGAAAAGGAGAGTAGTAGATAAAAATGTCAATATACATGATTCGTCGTCTTTCAATGATGGATATTTCTCACAAATTCGCGAATTGACTCGAATGTAAGCAGACGTCAAAATATTCTGTGTTTGAGCCTTATTTATTGTCAATTTCGGTGGAAAAAATATTGGTCGATATCGTTCGATTGCTTTTCGAATAATATCACAACGTTCCAAGTTCGAATAAACAATAAAATATTTTGGATCTATATAAACCAGATCATTGTCAGCATTCATTAATTGAGGTTGAGGCCAAACAGCATTGGGGCTTGCTGCTTTACCCTAAAATATAAATTCAAAGAACATCCTGTATGAAATAAAAATATCTCAACTTACCCGTAATGGATATTTGACTTCAATATAAGTTATAAAGGAGGTATTAAGAGAAACTAAGACCAGTCCAACGATTAGTTTAAAGAACACGTTGTTCATTTTGAATTATAACACTACACCCACAGTTGCTTTTAGTTAAGAGAGTTTTGTCTTAGTAATAAGAAATTTCGCTATTCTGATAAGCAGATATGATATAAGTTTAAAGATATCTTCTATCTGTTTTTATTATTTTGTCTAGTCCGATGTGTGAATGTCATGCCGACTGAACAACATAGAATGTCTGGTAGGATAAAAAACACTATTTAAATGGAAAAAATAAAAATGTGACCACAACTTTCTGGTGTAGATTATTATGTAAAATAGATATGATACAAGTTTAAAGGTATCTTCTATCTGTTTTTATTATTTTGTTTAGTCCGATGTGTGGATGTCACGCCGACTGAACACCATAGAATGTCTGATAGAATAAAAAACACTATTTAAATGGAAAAAATAATAGTGACCACAACTTTCTGGTGTAGATTATTATGTAAGAGGGTCGTTTAAGTCTTACAAGAATTACATAATGATCAACTATATTTTTGTTCTACTTAGCAGAGGCATGTAATATGGATTATCGATTTTCCGATAACTCCAGTTGTAATTGCAATTATTAGGTTTAATCTTGATTAAAATTCATAATATGTTAGTCGCAGTTGTTCTTAAATTTCTGTTTTTAACCTTGCCTATTGATCACAAAATGATATTAATTTCAATTGTGAATTCACTTGATATGTGTTTCCATTTTTGTTGTTCTAACAGTATTATCCATCTTATAAAGCACACTTTTCTCCATTGAAAATGCTGTTCATCTGTTCAATTAAAAAATTCAGATTCACACAAAGACTATCTGCTAGTCCCGAATGAATTAAGAAAAGTTTGAATATTTAGATGATGGTTCCACCTCTGGGACTAGTTTCAAAGAACTACCTGCGTGAGAAAGTTTCGATGACTTGTATAATCGAAGAATCGAAAAAGTCTCCTCAAAAGAATCAGCGTCATATTTATATTAGTCGTAATAACGAAACAAAAGGGTGCATCATTTGTTGGCAAATGGTCAAAAAGTGACATTAACGTTAAATGCTAGTTTTTTCTTGTTACATTAAATTAGAAAATGGTTAAAGCAGATGTGAACTTCAGTTTAAAATATATACAATTAAATGCATGTTTTCAGGTCATAATTCACGGTGAAATAACGTACAAGTGATGGTAATTGTTAACGGGCACTTTTTAGCCAATTAGAATTTGTTTTCATACAGTTAACAGGTAATGCATAGGTTATTAAATGTCAGTTTTAATTGACCTGGAACTGTTTTGATTAAAACACCTGAAAATTTTGTATGTGTGACTCATTGATCTACTTTTGGTTAATTTGGTCCCTTAATGTCCTCGAGAAATATAATTTGCTAGTTGAAAAACCGTAAGTATGTTACTTGCAATTTTCACGTGATAGATACTCTAAATTTAAATGTGCAGTATGATCTATTTTATATCGATGATGTACATTTACAAGTTGCTAATAGTGTCAGACTAGACGAAACAGTCAAGATTATCAGAAAGGTATCTTTCCTTTCAGAAATTATAGCATTTAAAATTAACGGTAACCGCCTATTGTTGGTTCAATAGCCTTCAAATTTCTTTAAAGTTTTATTATGATTAACAACAACGATGTTAGTTAAATAATCAAGAAAACACAAACTGCAATTTTATACAAAAAATATACAAAGTTAAAGAAAAGAAAATATACCTTAATATAATAATTCACTCATCGAAATATATCCAATAATTATCACAGTTCAAAAACAAACAACACCACGACATAGTAAAACGGGATAGAGGAAACGTAAAGATTTCATAAATGAATTAGTAAAGAAACACAGTTGGCTATTCACAAATAGAAATTTAATTTCTATATTTGTTCACTGTTTATTCTCTCAAAAAAAGAAAAAAATCCAAAAACAAAATAGCATGAGATTAAGGCAAGGTTTTGGTATAAATAAGAGGCATAAAAAAAAGAGAAAGCTACAAAAAAAATAATACATAATGACCAGGATTAAATCCAGAGATAAAATCATAGTAGGGTGAAAAAAAAAGTGAAGATATCACATATTTGAAATATCATGAGATTGATTCTCTTTTTTTTGGAAATTCATTTAATAAATAAATGCACTTATGTAATACGACGAAAATAATAATAAAATATCCATTAATATTTATTTTTAAATCCATGTAGGAGTTCGACGAATGGTTAGTGGAGTAAAATCACTTGATCGTGATTGAAAACTAAACAAAAAACCAGTATATATAATTCAGCAGTATACATACAACTTATACTAGAAAAAGAGGCAAATTAACAAAGATCTGATCAAGTTCACAGCAGCTTTATATTTATTGTTCATAATTTATTGAAAATTAATGTAACGTTCCGATGTTTCGTAGAATTTGCAGTTGAATATGCACATATTCAACTGTTTCGCGTGTGTTACGCGTGTTTATCTTCTTTTTGACAGAAAAGAAAAGATAAAATTTTACTGTTCTTTATACTATTCACCCTTGTATTCAGTTTTATTCTCTTGTACAGTGTGTGTAGTCGTACTTTAGTAATCTTTATCTGATGATGATACTTGGCATATCGAAACGTTACATTAATTTTCAATAAATTATGAACAATAAATTTAAAGCTGCTGTGAACTTGATCAGATTTTGCTTCAAAATTGTGCCCATACAAAAAGACAATTAAATTAACAAAGATTTATATAAGTTTCCAAGTTTCAAAAAATATTAAAGATATACCAGAATACTTCATTCAATTTATACGAGTTTAATAAATAAATTCGGAAAGATTTAATAATGACAAAAATATATTACTTACAACCTGTTCTTTGAAAAATGTGGCATTGGAGTAGATGGTTGTTTGTAATTAAATGTTGGTATACGATTACTTTCAAGACAAAAATCTTGAAAATTTGTTGGACGAACACCTAAATTGTTTAGTAGATGAATGCTAAATTCATATACTGCCTTTTAAATAATAATTCTACCTTTATATAAGGCATGATCTTTGGAAGACGGTGATGTTAACGTAGGCACTTTTGGCATTCTAAAAATTAGATTGATTGATCTAAACGAATAAATAGAATTATGATTATCTTACGCATAGGTATGAGGACGACGAAACGATCTTTTCAGTATGGATGAAACAACTTTTTCTAAACGTCCCGATCGTTCATTTTGAAGATCCGGTCCATTGAACCATTGCGAGGCATTTTGTACTGGTACATGGACTTTTCGTTGTTGACTACTATTTCGTCTTGAACCACTATGATTTAACAATGAATGAGTATTTTCGAGAACAGATACAGTTTGGAGAGGTTCATAATCGTTCATAATATTATTTTGTTCATATGTTTCATGTAATGTATTTGCTGTTTGCTCTGGAGGATATAATAAAAGCATAGACTCAATTAGAACAGGTGATTCGCGGATTTCTTGCTTTTGTTTGACAATACGAACGGAGAGTGGACGTTCAACAACTCTAAGAAAAAATTGATACATTGACTACTTAAAATTATTTCAAGTTTTTTTTGGACGTACTCTGGAATTGTCGGTTCAGGAGTTGTTACTTTTCTCTCATCATGCTGATGTGGTAGCACTGATGAATTTAAGTCTGTTTCTGATCCATCGAGATGACTTGTCGAGTGTTTTCTTGTTGGCGGAGGTGGAGGTGATACTGGCGGTTGTGGAGGAGCGATAGTAGGGAGTTGCGGTCGCTCCATAGTCATTTCACTAGAAAATGAAACGAAAGTGTTGGTCTTTGTTAATACATATGCTATAGTAAATAACTTACTCGGCTTTATTTAAATCTGAAAAATGTTTTAAATAAATCAAAATTAGATTAAACAAATAAGTAAGAAAAGTGAGATAAGACATACTCATATCGAAAACTTTTTGCACAGGTGGTGAGCGTTCATGAGTTTCTGTTGTTAACGGATGACCATTCTGTTTAGAATCAACTGGCTGCAAATAACAAATACAATTCGATAAAGAAAGAAAGAAAGAACCTCTATTGTCTATATAACCTTTAATTTTCGTTGTGATTGATGTGAATAACTCAAACGTGGTGATTCTCCTCTTGATGTTGTCAATTGAAGAGTTATTCTGGAAAAAAAATTCAGATTGATTTCTACTTTTACACCATAATCATTTCTAATTTGTGTGAATTATTAAATTCCAGTATTTTCGATCATTAGAGTGTTCAATAAAAATTCTCAAAACTTACTTGTCCCCAATTGCGTGCTTTGGCCTCCAAAAATCGCGCATCCCATCCCATTCAAAATTATTCATATTAACATAATTGATACTATCGGGCAGTCCACCATTACTAACCATTGCACCATTCGTTGCTACAAAAAAAATGAAATACAAAACAAATTTATTAAATGCATGTACAATGTCATTTACCTAGAATATTGTCCAATTGAATCATTGCTATTTCAGCATCGGGTAATGTTACAATCCGACCAAAACTTTGTGGACCTGTTAATATTCTATCACCAATTGCTAAAAATAATAAAATGTTTCAAAATTTCATATATATAATTAACTGATTAAGTTTTTTTACTACGTACCAGGTATTCGAGCTGAACGTAACCTTGGTGATTGCTCTTGTATTTTTGCTTCATTTGCTGATTGTTGATTTGTTGCATCATTTTCTATTAATTGTACCTCCTATAAATAGAGTTTATCTCTATGCTTATCCGGTTAAATCTGGCGGTGTTTACTTACCACTTGATTCGGATCAGTTACCTTCTTTGTTCTCTTGGTTGACAATGTACGTATTGTCATTTTTAATATATTTCCTAATATTGGACTCAACAATTCTTTTTGCTCTTCAGGTGTTTTCTTTAAAAACAAAATTGACTCCATTTCTACTACAAATAGGTAGGATATTTTTCTTTGTTATACCTGTTCAGCATTAAAACTTTGTAATACTTCTTTGACGCTACCATAAGCTGGTGATTTATCTAATGCATGTTTCAATATCGCATGAACATCTAAAAATAACATCATGTGAATATTGAAACTAGATATGTTTCGAATTGCTTATGCTAATTTTAATCAGAATTAGCTAAAATAAAATCAACATACTCGGATTATCAACCAACGTGTAAAATAATGGACATATGATCAGTACTTGCATAACTTCAAGACAGAGTACAGCTTTTGCCTCCATAACGCTAGAATAAATGTAAATTTCATAAATTGTCTTGGAAAGTCATGATCGTTTAAACAAAATTCTCATAGTTGTATTCTAATCGAATGAGAGATAAATACACTTACGCACTAACACTTGGATAGGCCTGCGATGCTGTTGCATTTAATAAGTCTATTTGACGCATATGATTCGAGAGAACAATAGAAACACTATTAAATAGTTTTTCATAAAACGCAGACGACTATAATCCAAAAAGTTAAAACAACTGAGCATATGAAAAATGACAAATAAACTACATACATGATTTTCGTCTCTATCAATTTTGGCACCACCTTGTAATAGAGATACAATTTTACATTTGAACGATTCACTTGAAGCAAATATCTTTTGTACATTAATATTTCTAGAAATAAAAGGAAAAAAGTGAATGATCATTAGAATATTTACTTCTATCTATTACCCTATTGTGTTAATTCTCGTGATATCAATAACATGATTTAGTAAATCTGATGGAAGTTGAAATAAAATATCGGTCTAAATAAATAGAGACAACATTATGCACAGGTTCAACACATAAATAGCACACATACGATAAGTAGAATAAGTAGCATATTAAATTCTTCTACATGTGTCTGTCTCGAATCCATCATATGATAAAGTGTATGACGATTTTCTCGTAATAATTCTTCTTGTCTAAACAGAGAAAAAGATAAATTGTAAGAAACTAAAATGTTTCAATTTGAGTAACTTACCTGTCGGTGTAACGCATCTCAGTCAGACATAAATCTTGGAACCATGAAGACAGATGTTTTAGCCGTTTCTTATCAAGATCTAAATGTTAAAATAAATATAAATAAATGAATAACTAAACAGTTTTAAAAAATTTACCAGAATTGATAAAACAGTTCTGAGGAAATTTGGCGAATAACTCTGTAGCCTATCGAATACAATCATTGATATACAAATTTTTGCTAATGTCTTGTTTACTTAACTTACTTTTGTCCCAAATAACCCATTCACTGATCGGTCTTTCAAATTTGTCGGCATAAATTGATCTTTTGATAATTTATGACGCTAAAGTTTCGAATAAACCATTTTTTTAATTTATATTTATTTAGGGCTGCACAGATGAACACTTACAACTGGTTTATTTGATAATGAGGACTGTACAAAAAATTCCTCCACTTGATTCCGTTCTATTGCTAAACAAAGTAAAGATTGTTGAAACAAAAGTTTACTTTATTTTTGAGATTTTCTTACTTGAAATAAAAATTGCATCCAACATCCATATTCTTGGCAAACAATCGAGGACATGTGTACGGTCTTAAAAAGCAGAATAAATGATATATTAAATCTAAAAATTAACATGATAATCGTTATTTACAGTTCGGATCTGAATCAAGAGCATGATTTCCATCTAATCTTAAATCAAGTATTGACATATGCCGAATATGTTGTAATTCAATCCATTGTAATTGATTGTTCGACAATATCAATGTACCCAAAGCAATAAAACGAGACAAATGTTGTAATATACGAATCTAAAAAATTTCAATTTTATTTGTTATTGATACTGAGATGGCTATATATTTTCCTCTTTCAATCAAACCTCGTTATTGCTAACATCAAGTTTCCATAAATGTTTCAAATTTTCGACCCCAGCTAAAGACGTTAACCCATTTCCTTTACATATAAGTATTTGTAAATGTTCATATTGTGGAATTTGAATGAGAGAAACTAAAAAAATGATTCACAGGCAAAATCTAATGCCATTACTCAGTATTACACTTACGAATTTTGACACTTGAATAGTCAGCATAATCGCTGTTCTGAGCATTTGTTGCATAAGGAGTGGGCTAAAGACAAAAATATGCAATAATCATTTAACATGAATGTGTATATCGTGCCGTTTAAAAGCTTGTCTTTATCTACCTTTACGCAAGACTGCAATAACGGAAAAGTCAGCGAGGAAAGAACGTTTATATAAAAGTCAGTGATTTCTTCACTCAAACTCGAGTTCCACCTCTCACTCAAGAAGAGCTCCTGGAAAAAGTTTCGGTAATAGCTGATACAAATATGCAGAAATATTGTCTTCTATATTAACTTATGGGAAGATTCTATGTTGACTTTGTCACTCAGCGAAGTCGGCAAAGTCATGTAATAGCCTTTGGCAAGTTACTTATGCCTCGGATCACCCGTCTGGCAGCATAAAAGTTATAAACGCACTATGTTGTGACATACAATACAGCTTCTCCAGCTAGTCTTCGTGGCTTTCCAGAAAGCTAGTACGTGACAGCGTTATCGATTAGTGAACGGTAGGAGGTGGCATACCACCCCCTCGTTTAGATACAGTAACTCAAAAAATTTTGACTTACTCAAAATTTACTTTTTTTAAGAAATTTAAGTAGAGAAACTGCCGTTTATGCACCTGAGTAAGTGATTTTCTCCAGCTTCTGAGTAACTCATTTTTTTCTGGGTAACTGAGTTACTCGGAAAAAATTTTAGTCAAAAAATGCGTTACTCAATGAAAAACTTTAGTTACTCAGCAGGCTGGCCACCCCGCACCAAAACTACTATCGAAAACACTGGTTAGTGGAATGTGTATGAGGAACTCAAGTAATTGATCGAAAGAGTTCTGCCTCAGGCTAGCCTCCTGGTCACCGATATAATTGATGACTAGTAACGAGATGGGTTAGCTTGTCAACTGTAGGGAAGATATCAGGCTGTTGAAACTGCCACGACAGTACCCTACATCGGTCATGGTGGCTGCAAGGCGGGGTATTCTCTTCCATCCCAGCGAAGAACATTAGTCGTTTTTTAACTGTTTGATATTGAAGAGCGAAAATACTAGTACGCATAACTTACAACACTAAAATTAAATAAAGTCATACTTTAACTGAAATCTTCATCTTATCAGACCAACACTATATCCTCGAGTCAACATTTTACTTTAACATTAATATAATTTCCACAACATGCGTTTAAAATCTGAAACAAGACAAATAGTAGAATGAACTTTGTTTTATTTCTTTTTCATTGCCTCAGCGCCTTTGTATTGTTGATTTTATTATGCCAATCAAAAAAATCTGTTGATCTGTTATAAGTACTTTGAAATCCTGTTCAGGAGAAAAAAAGTTTAATTTTTGAGCATTTTTTATTTCATTGCTTCAAAGCACCCACAAGGTGTAGAATACTTAAAAAAAAGAAAACAGTTATCATTTTATTTTGTCAAATTTAAACGATGTGTGCGTGTATTTCAAGTGTTAGCTTTTAAACTACTTAAAACGACAATTATCGATATTAACGTTTTCGACAGTCATTCACGTTTCACAAGGTATTGTATGTCTCTTATTATTTGTCGAAAAAGTTTGGTTTAGTTTGATCATTTGATTATTCTTCTTTTTTATTATTTATTGATAGAAAAGAAAAACACTAAGTGAGTCAACTGCAGTTGACATTTGAGATGTTGAATCCATGACACTAACCAAGAGCATGCACTAAACAAGCATAGAACGCTAGAATGCATAAATATTATGTTCATTCTGATTCGCAGGAAAACACCAATAGAAAAATTTCTAAGTAACAACTTTTTATGTAACTGTTACGTATGTTAATAAAACCCGTACGATAGGATAGATCAGGATACCCTATAACTAAAATCTCGCTCGGTCAATTGACTTAAGCTGCACGAGGCTATACTCACGAGTACATCAATTTGTTACCCAACATTACGCATTTCTCTAAAATACTTTAGGCATTAAACACGCATCTACAGGTTACTTTCAACCAGATGCGAATGTCTCGAAGATACACTGCACTCAGTAGTACAAAAGTTTTCTGATGTTCCCCAGAATTCGAAGACTAAAACTGTTTTATTCATGAAAAGTGAGAGTCATCAAGGTCACCGACCTATAATAACAATTACTACTCAAGCCAAGCAACGCCAAAAGAGTAATAACAAAATAAAGAAGGCAACTAAGGTCAGAACCAGAATTAGTAAAATAAATTTATAAAAAATAAGCAAAAAAGAACAAATATAAATTCTCAGGTGTCCTATTTGTCTGAAGACACACCACGACTGTCACTCGCCAAATGACACACGGAAAAAAGTTTTGAGGAAACCCTCAGCCCGTAGGACTACTGCTCGTAGATGCTTAAGGGTACTCCCGCAGTACCCTTAAGAAAAGAGGAGGAGTTTCGCCTCCTTTTCTACCTTCTGGGAAACCATAGACATCGATGCCCGATTGAGTTTAAATTCATACCAGAGACAGAACATCGAGAAAAAAAATCGATGTATTTTTGCCCAGGATTCTTTGAAATATTGTTCTATGGATTTTTTAGAAAACTTCGGTTTTCATTCAGATACAGTACGATCCATCATCAAAACCTCATCCGATCGCGCTCAAAATTTGACCACACATACATGGGACCATATCTCAAATAGCCAAAACAATTCAATCACCAGCTATCGTCATACCAGCTGACTACATGCAAATGTAGTCAATGAACACACATAGAAAAGCCCGACTTCACAAACCTTGTAGTTTTTGTATGAACGTCCGTGAACAAGTCCGTATAATGAAGATCTCTAATGACTAAGTTGTTTCTCTTTTCTGATTTGCATGTACGTAATCGAATGTTCTATAAGCGCGGACCAATGTTAGTTGATAGTTAAAAAAACTTCAATCGTGACCATTCGTCGTCACGTCAAAAAAGCACCTCCGATTAAGAAATGTTTGAAAATTTTTTTAAAGTGTTGAAGTCGAGGCAGACGAAAAGCCGTTCGACACTCTGGTGATAGACTGAAGTTATTCATCGGTGATCGAATTACTAACTTCCATTTGATTTATACGTCTTATAGTTTCCCGATAGTTGCTTAGTTTAATGTATTTTTCTTCCTTCACTTCTAGGAAAAAATGATAGTCTTTGAAACTGAAGTGAAAAGTGACATAGCACTTTTCTTAGAAAAAACTTTATCGTAAACCTTAGACAAAAGATAGCATCTTACCCACAGAAAAACTTGATGTTTCTTTCGACCTACTTGAAGCTGCTATTGCTTAGAAAAGGAAAGACTTACTTAGTTGTGGCAATTTTCAATTTTGTTTGATGTATTAAATGACAAATAAGTTTTTTCTTGTATTTCTAGATATTAAATTTGTTGCTTTTCTGAGAATGATGAGTGCGCGTCAACGTAAAGTAGATACTGGAAGAGAGAAGTTGAGTCAACCAAATTATGAGAATGACTTCACATCAAAGACAAGCAAAGACAAGCCACCACTGCATTTAATGCTCCCGTATGTTATATTTTCTATTTCATTCTTCGATTTCTCAATGTGCTGTAAAGAGAAATGACGCACTGACAAAGGATCTTCGTCTTTTTTAACGTGCAAGGATTATCTTGCTCGTCAGCTGAGGACACAGAAACATTCATTGGTTTAGCAATAATTAAAAATAATAATTGTTTTCTGAGGTTGCCATTGGCTGAGCTTGCTTTTTTTCCTGTGAATTCCTTGATTATTTGTGGTGTTGGCAAGTTTATATTTTCATTATGATGTTCATCTTGATTATGGGCTTGCTGGTGTAATTTCGTTTCTGTGTTAATTTTTGCTGATATACGATAATTTTTTTCTAAACGATTCAAATGCTGTTGAATTGTTGTTAAATCATCGAATATTTTATTCAACGTTAATGATTGGAGATTTGGAAATGTATGTAAAAAATCATTCGAAAGATTTTTATCATTTATTTGATCATTGTTATATGTTTTTAAACGTTTAAAAATTCGGAATGTTCCGGTGTGACATGTACTCTTGTAGCATTAATTCATAAACAATCATCAAACGTTGACCACTATCTGAAGCAGACAAATAAAATAGACGTTAAATTCATAAACAACTAGCTATTTACCTATTTTTAATAATTTAAAAACGAGAATTTGATTTCTACCTGATTTGATATACAATACTAAGAAATAAAGAGATCAATGGTGTATTAAGATGTAAGACAATATATAAACCTGTAACGATACTTCCCGATATATCATCATTTTCACGAAATAATCGATTCATACATAAAACTTTGACGAGAAAACGTTCTTGACTGCTAATCCAGCCTGGTAGTTTGTGAGAAGTTAATTCGTATAGAAATTTGTCAGCAAACGTATTACAATTTACTTTTAATAAATTATAATTTGCGCCGTAAAATATTTGTTCACCTAATCGATGTGCACATTTCTCAACGTTGATAGTTGATAACATTGTTTTACCAAAGATTTTAGTGTACGCTTTGTAAAAATAGATTTTGTTAGGTTTTCCACTTATAATTCCACTAAATGTAAATGGATAGGCATACTCTCTGTAGTAGGCATACTCTAGACCATCGATTTCGATTGCAGAATGATAAGGTGTAAAAAGACCTGGCGTTAAGATATTGCGTACCGAATGTAATGAAGGGATAGATGTTAGATAATAAACATTTAATCGTACCACTTTTCCATTGTCTAATTGATCGATGGTGCCGGATGTTACTTCTTCTGTGTCCATGCTTGGATTTGTAAGGTATTGATTCAATCGAACAATATAGTTCACAGCGTCAAATATATTCGCAGTCAATGTTATTGAAATAATGAGCAATGAATACTTTGAAAATATTCACACTGTTTCCGAGAAGAAACCTGATCGGTGAATTGTTAGTTTATTGCACAATTATATCTGATGAGATCATGTCGTTATGATGTATCGGTACCATATCGTTCTTCACCTAAAATTTAGCGGCAACTGACTCTACTTAAAATTACAGAATAGATAGAGATAGTTTCTGTCTTTAGTTCGAAATATAAGATTGTGAATTAATTTGTCTAGCTGGATAATTTTTTGGTACAATCTTCCTTCGTAATAAAATCTGATGGAATGAACTAATTCACTTTGTCTGTTATATTTAGACAAAATATTATCTATTTTATAGCTGGTGTCAGTATTATTAGTTTACTGTTCATTTTCAACTCATATTTGTCATCTGAAGATTCTGTGTCAAAACAGTGAGTAGAGTAAGTATCTTTTATCATTAAAAATAAAATAAAATACAAATTTGTGTTTATTTTTTCAGTATCATATTTTTAGGGATTCATATTTGAATAGAATGATTAAAGTATATTTCAGATACAATAGATTTGTATCCATTCTTTTCATAGTCTTCCTGCAACATTACCTTCATGGGATGGATCGGCGATGTTAATCAATGATTTCCTATCACATAGTAAACGAATTTTGGTCGGAAGTGGGCCGGAGTCGATTGAAGAACTGAACGGTACGCTTATCTATTATACAAAACGAAATAATAACTCATTTAATTTTATAAAGGTTATCTTTATTCTGGTTTGAAAAATGGTTCTTTGGTTCAATTAAATCCAACAACTGGAGAGGTAGTTATCATTTATGCACCAGAATCAAAGACATGCGGTGCGTATTTACATCCACATTTATAAGCATATGCATATTTGAGCTATTCATTCTTATTCTGCAGGTGGTGATGAATACGAACATATATGTGGACGAATATTGGGAATAAGAAAATATTCTGATAAAGAATTAATTTTTGTTGAAGCATACAGTGGTTTATATAAATTTAATGTTGAAACAAGTAACGCTTTTTTTTTTTTATGAAATTAAGTTTACCATTTATGCATAAAAATATTTTTTGATATTTCAGAAACAATTATTCAGTTGATTGCAGCAAATGACACACGTTTTGACAATCGTCCATTACGTTTTATTAATGATTTAGATATATTAGATAAACAGTATATCTTTTTTACCGACTCAGACTGGTTATATCCGAGAAGAAATTTTGTTTCAACTCTTCTACGATCTAATCCGCGTGGACGGTAAATAAGAAGTGACATGACGTTTGTTTCAAAACTTTTCTCCTCTTTACTCTTTATTTTAGATTGATTCGTTATGATATTATCAATGGAAAAGTTCGTACATTTAATAATCAGTTATCTTTTCCAAATGGAGTTCAGCTAACAGTCGACCAACAAGCTGTTCTGATTTGTGAAACATCATTAGCACGTATTATGAGGTTGTTCTAATACTTTTAGTTAAAGATAATGTTTTAACATTCTTGTAATATGCCTTTTTTGTTGGATAGATTTTGGATTAATGGACCAAAAACAGGAAAAACTGACATATTTATCGAGAATTTGCCCGGTATATGTGATAATATACGTATGACAGAAAGAAAAACATATTGGATTGCATTTGCAGCTGTCAGAAGTTTAATGAAGCCAACGTTAGTTGATCGTCTAAGAACATGGCCACTTTTACGAACATTAATATCGGTACATAAAAACTACTATAATTGTTTTTCTACTGACAGAAGTATTTTCTTTTCTTCTTTTTAGTATTTTCCATCATGGATTCTTAACTATTTTATGCATTCAAGTCGTCATGGTCTAGTTATTGAGGTTGATAACAATGGCCAAATACTACGTTCATTACATGATCCTGAAGGTATTAATATACCTTCAACGTCACAAGTAACAGAATATAATGGTTATCTTTATTTTGGATCCTATTATTTGCCATATATCGGTGCCTTCAAACTGTAGATATACAATTTTTCTGACAATCAAAGGTTATGATATTATTCACGTTTTAAAGTCTGTTTTTTTTTGTTTTGTTTTTCTATTACTATTTGACTTGATATGCATTTCTTTTATGTGAGAATGAGAGATTGTTTATACTCTTTTTTGCATGACTTTTGCACTACGCAATATAATTTCGAATGATAGATAGAGAGAACAGTTTTTTCTTAAAATGATTTTTTATTCATGTTATCGTTTTAATGTTTGAAAAATAGATCGATTTATAAATTGAAGCAAATGTACTTAGACTAAGACGATCATTTCCTATGCAAAATTTTGTTGATGAGTTGCTGTTGTTGGTGTTTGTTTTATCCAACATCTTTATAAACTAGGTCCACAACATGACTGAGTGATCTGCGAATAGTTTCTCGAATCAATTGTGATGTTAGAGAGAGAGAAATACAAGGAAAAAGCATTAGAAAGTTTTGATTATACAAGAGAGTACTGTACTCCATTTTGTATTTTCATCTAAAGGAAGTTAGTCGTAAACTTCAACTCATTTGATTGTTTTTGTTCATTGTTTGTAGTTAAAGTATTTAAAATATTTCATTTTTCTGTTAACCTTCAACTCTAGATGCTCTCTTACATAAAAGAAACTTGTTGTTTGAGGATATTAAGAGGAGCCACCTATGCGAATAATATGGTTATTCATCGTCCAGAAGTAGCATTGGATACATCAAGAATGGGTAAGGTGAATAAGTACTTGATCTTTTAAACTTCAAACTGCTATTTCCTATTTCTAGGTCAAGATGTTGTTGTTGTTAAAAATGGTCGACGATTATGTGGAACGGGTGGTGCGATTGCTAATGCACCAATAGTTCAAAATAAAGCTTACTTTGAAGTAAAAGTGCAAACACAAGGTATGTTTATGTCTGTTTTAAAAAGAACAGAGTAGCAGACAATTTTCTGTTTTTTCCAGGAACTTGGGGTGTTGGTTTAGGATCTCAGCGAGTAAATTTAAATAAAGTTCCACTTGGCTGCGATTCTGATAGTTGGATACTGGAACATTCAGGTGAAATTAAACATGATAAGAAATCATTAGGACAGATTAAAACGTCTATTGAAGAAGGTGATGTAATCGTAAGTATTTCTACTTTCGTTGTCAAATAAAAACTAATCGTTTATTGTCTTCTTCATTTAGGGATTTGCTTATGATCATGAACTATTTCGTATATTCATTAATGGACAAGAGCAAGAGCCAGCTGTACGTATTTCAACTCGTACTACGGTATTTCCTGTGTTCTACGTTGATGATGGAGCAATACTTGATATTCAGTTTGGAACATTTTATTATCCACCTCCTGAAGGGGGATATGATCGTATTTTACTTGAAAAGTCGTTGTTATAAAATTTATTAAGCATTAAAACTCAAAAAAAAAGAAGAGTAATGATCAAAAAATACAGTAGTATTAAATTTTGTTTATATAAGAGCAAAAGTCCAAATATTGCAGTGTTTAGGAATGAAGCTATTTCTAGTACTCTAAAAATTAGCTGCTTTCTTAAATTTTACAGTTCTTCAATCATGTTATTTCAAACATTTACTTACATTATTTTTATTTATCACACTGTGTCTATATGCTGATTGTTGTTTATTCGCAAAATAAAACTTCTCAGTTGTTGTCAAATTTTGTCGTTTTAGAATGCTCATTTTTCTTTTGTTACTGTTTCTCTTCATACAATTTAAAGTTATTCTTTATTGTATTCGTTTCTTTTAAATTTTTTTTATGAAATATGTGTCTGTAAAGCTCATTCTGGTTATAGACATTATTACAACGATTTTCCACCGCATGATATAGCTATGTTCTGAAAATTCGAAATTCGACTGCAGAGCATGATTGTGTTCGAAATTGATCCGGCAGAACCTAGTAAATCATTACAACTTGCTTTTGTTCTTAGTGAAAAATGTCTGACTATTTCTGAATAAGATCGGGTGTTTGACATATTAACTGCAGATAATACACAATTTTTTATTTCATGATTGAATATATATTTTCTATAAAGGATTTTTTCATTTTTCAACGGATAAAAGGTTCTTTTAAGCTTGTGCAAAAATTGTTTTATTTAATTTTCATCTGGTTTCGTCTGTTTTTTATAATGTTATTAAAATAAATGTTTGTTTGTCGCGAATATATTTCGTCTGTACAGAATCGAAAATAAATTTGGTAAACGTATAAATCGCTAAGAGTGCTGCTAATAGAATCTCAACTCCAACTGAAATTGTGTTGGAAAATTGTTGTTTCTCTATAGATTCTTGTATTTTATGTATCGGTTACATATACGTCGTTGTTTCGGCACATTTTTTTCGAACTACGTGTCAAAAAATGAACCGATATTGGAATATAAAACTAACAGTAACGAACGTTCAGTACTGAAGAAAAAATTAGACGAGTACCTATCAAAGATAACGCATATTCCGTGCATAATAGATGGAAAAGAAGTGTGGACAAACGATATACAACGTCAAGTTGTACCATTTGATCATAAAACGACTATAGCTGAATTTTGTTATGCTGATAGAAGTGTGATTCAAAAAGCCATTGATAGTGCATTAAAAAATAGAATCAAATGGAATATGTTACCGGTTGAACAGCGTGCAAATATCTTTCTAAAAGTATAGATATATGCGAATTTGTTGATGTAAATATTGTTTCACTGTTATTTTCTTGGTAGGCAGCTGATCTTGCATCAACCTCATGGCGTCAAGATTTAATTGCGACAACAATGCTTGGTCAAGGAAAAACAGTTTTTCAAGCAGAAATTGATGCAGCCTGTGAATTAATTGATTTTTGGCGTTTCAATGTACAATTTCTAGCTGATGCCTTGAAATATAAACCAATCAGTACAACTGATTCTGATAATACATATTCTTATCGTGGACTAGAAGGTTTTGTTGCTGCGATAACACCATTTAATTTTACGGCCATTGGTGGTCATCTAGCTAGTGCACCAGCAATGATGGGCAACACACTGTTATGGAAGCCATCCGATACGGCTGTATTATCGAGTTACATTGTCTATCAAATATTACAAGAAGCGGGTCTGCCGCCTGGCATTATCAACTTTGTTCCAGCTAATGGTCAGATCTTTGGTAAAACAATCACAAAATCACCGGATCTCGCAGCAATCAGTTTTACAGGATCTTCTGCGACGTTTAAAGTAAATTGCATCGTTTTTCTAATAAGAAAATGTTCGGTCATTTTTTGTTTTAGTGATTTAATTCAGCCTAGAAACATAACAATACACGTTTTATGTATTTTTTTTGTAGACATTATGGAGATGGGTCAGTGAAAATCTTGATATTTATCGTTCGTTTCCACGATTGATTGGTGAGTGTGGTGGTAAAAATTTTCATCTCATTCATCCTTCCGCTGATTCAGCAACGATTGTTTATGCAACAATACGAGCATCATTCGAATATAGTGGCCAAAAATGTTCAGCATGCAGTCGCGTCTATTTGCCACGTTCATTAGCTTCTTCGTTTTTTGATGATATGAAAAATATAGTCAATAATGAACTCAAAATATCTTCTCCATTAGAGTTTGATACATTTTCTAGTGCGGTTATTGATAATAAATCATTTGATCGTATAAAAGCTTATATTGATTATGCGAAGGCATCATCATCATCAAAAATCATTGCTGGTGGATTATGTGACAATCATAATGGTTATTATGTACATCCAACTATAATTGAAACAACCAATCCAAATGATAAATTGATGCAAGAAGAAATATTCGGTCCTGTAGTGACTGTGTACGTTTATGATGATAAAAAATTTGACGATATTGTGGATTTAGTTGATCAAACATCACCCTATGGATTAACTGGCTCCATATTTTGTCAAGATAAAACAATACTAAAGAAAACAAAAGAACGTTTATTTCATTCCATGGGTAATCTTTATTTGAATGATAAATCAACGGGCTCGGTTGTTAATCAACAACCGTTTGGTGGCAGTCGTTTATCTGGAACAAATGACAAAGCAGGTGGACCACATTTCATCCTACGGTGGGCATCACCAATATCAATAAAAAATATGAAAAAACCATTGGATACATTTAAGCATGTTTCAATGGAAAATCCATCATAGAAGAGACCGTTATTTTTTTCTCTTCTCCGTGTGTGTCTCAGCATTCCGTTTCTGATCTCTTTTTGCGTGCTTATCGCATGTCTTCTGACTACATGATCTGTTTTGTTTCACAAAGCTTTCACTTTTTTCTCTACGAGATTATTGTATCTCCAGATTCACTATTTTTATACAAACTGCACTTTATATTTTCCAAACAGCATTTGTACTTGACCGTTGTTCTGCTTTTTGCATTTAGTTTTTTTAATGCGAAGTCTGACAAATTTTATTTCATAGTACGTGCTTATTTAATATTTTTTCTAAGGTGCAGGTAATGCAAAATTTCAGTGGAATTTATTTCGCGCTATCGAATGGTATATAATGATTGACTAGGGGCTATATCGAAGGGCTATATCGATGATTCACACACCATTAGATCGGCCAACACGCTAGCTTTAAAAATATGTAGAGCTTTTATCAAAATTCGTTTTCCTTGCTGAGAAAAACGACTTTTACTGAAAACCAAAGAGAAACAGCGAGATGACCTTTGGAAAACCAGACCGTGTGTAAAACTTTTCAATAGGATTGTATTGATTTTCTTCCATGCTATGATAGCCCAAGGTATCCTCTTCAAAATGAGAGTCAAGTGAGACCTTGGTTTTCCGCGACTCGGGTGTTGTGTCGGATTTCTGTCGGAAAA